GCGCTGTGTTAGTTGCATGCGTGTCTCAGGCCCAAGAGCATATAGCAACGTTTCCAACGCCAAAGTATGATTTCAAAGGGCCGCCTCTCACAGAACGTGGCAGACTTAGAACGGTCAAAGGCGATGTTCTTTATCCCGTGACAAATGGCTATGATCTAGCCCGTCGGCCTTGGCAAACATTCTTCTCCTGCAATGCCTACCCAGCAGTGATTGTGAGGCCAGAGGACGTCAATGATGTTATACTTGCTCTGGAGTACGCCAAGGGAAACAATCTGCGAGTAACAGTGCGCAATGGCGGTCACTCCTATGCAGGAATAAGCCGCTCATATGGATTAGTGTTGGATATGTCCCACATCAACAGAACCAGTATGACTTCAGCGGAAGCCGATGAACTTCCATTGGTACGCGTCGAAGCTGGCTCCACCAATATTGGTGTCTATTACGAATTGGCAAAGTACAATCTCACTGTACCAGCTGGTGGTTGTCCGAGTGTAGGAATCAGCGGCCTTACGCTTGGTGGCGGCTTTGGTGTGCTGTCCAGGAAATGGGGCCTCGCATCCGACCAAGTGTACTCCATTGACGCTGTTGTGTATGAAGACCAGTCGTACAAAGCAGTGACCGCTACAGCTGATAATCAGTATAGTGATTTGTTCTTCGCCTTCCGTGGTGGAATGGGAGGCAATTACGGTGTCGTCACCAGCTGGATGTACCGTGCCCATCATATTCGTAACGTCTATACCTCCACATTTAACCTCAATCTGACGGAGGGCAGAATCCCAAATCATAACAATGACCCCAATGAGTACAAGAATATACGGATGGCCATCTCGAGTTTTATGCAGTGGTGTGATGCTATCAGCAGCAACACAAACTGTGAAATGTCCATCTCCACCATGACGGTGCCATCCATCAATCTGCAGCCAGTAGCAGCAGCGGACGCACAATACGCCAAGGTGTTCAAGCTAGAAAGCTATTGCGTGTGCGAAGAGCTGAACTGCACTCTATGTATCGGCGAGGTATCGCAGCTGGAGGGATTACTGGCCAATGCCCCGGTGTACAACAGGACAGCTAGCCCCGAGGAAGGAATACCGTGGTCCGAGTTCATCTGGGAAATCGCAAACTGCAGTCGCTACTACGAAGCAGTCAACCTTCCAGGTCAGTATCCTCCGCCGTCATTGGTGAGAACTTGCATTGCGCATCGGCAAGACCCTATTGGACGAGGCAGGCACAATCGCAAGAAGAGCCTTTTCCTAAGCCAGAATCCAGATCAGGCTGTGATCCAAAGTGTCCTACTGTGGATGGACTCATTTGCTGACAACATCATCGTCGACAACTACACTGCTGCCAACGTAGAGTTTTACTACTGGGGCGGTGCACTTTCTAGCAGACCATCGTATGCCGTAAACTCTGCGTGGCGTCATCGCAGTCAGAAATGGCTGGTCCACATCACGGGCCGGTTTGCCGACGAGGCTTCTCCAAAAACAATCGGTACTGTCTATTTCGCCCTTGGAAAGCTTCACAACATTTTCCTGCAGGCGGAGAAGAGTCTGGCAGAGGTACCCGTTCAGGACTATCAGAACTTTGCGGATGCGTCGCTTAGCTACGAAGCTTGGAGTCACTTCTACTTCGACGGACCAACTATACAGCGTCTTTCCGAGATCAACTACAAGTACAACCCCGACGACATCTTCCGCAACGAACTGTCTGTGCCACTGAGCACACTGACGTGTCCGTACTTCACGTCCAGTCCCCTTGGAAGCATCACCAGTGTTACAGGCAACGTGAGTAGCACCTGCCCCTCCACTGAATCAGAAAACCGTGACCACATCATAGCAATGTTAGTGTTTTCAGTGATTTTTGCTATTCTCGTCACTTTCAGCATCCTGTATTATTGGCATGATAACAGGATGAAAATTTGATTGCTTGCTGGCTGCACCGAACACTCCCGCAGTTGCTAAACCATAATTGCTTCCGTAATGATTGCAGAGAAAATTTCGTCCCGTTCCTCACGAAATATACATGTGCATGTAGATGTGAATGTAGATGTGAATGTAGATGTGAATGTAGATGTGAATGTAGATGTGCATGTAGATGTGCATGTAGATGTGAATGTAGATGTAAATAGTAAATACGCATACTATGTGGATTAAGTGGTACGAGACATCATCTCCATCATGAAGATTGAACATCTACTACCCACAGGCGCTTGAATGTGGATATAAGGAATATGTGAGAAATCTAGGGGTCTACAATGTCATGTATAACTTTGCTTTTCCACCGCCTGCAATAGTGTTCACGTCTTTGTCGTGACTACCACCAGTATGTCTCACGCAGTGAACGCTTGATCACTAGTCTAGTTACCATCCAGCATTATTACCGTATGTCAGCACCTTTAATGCCATGGCCTTATATTCGAAACACCGCTGCTTTCCTAGATATTTTAGATGCAAAATGACTCACCCACTACGCCATGCCATAAAAGTCAAAGTCCACACAGAAATGTCAATCTGAATCTACTTGTTCACTCTTCCTGCTGGGCTGTAAGTTTGTTAGCATAGTACTTATTCCTTCATTTTTGCAAAATATACTTCAAATATCATTTCACTTATGCAGCCCATGGCTTTATAACTGAGACTGGCTGTATAATCGAATGTAACACCATGGCTTTAAAGGTGCGGACATACGGTATATACATATTTTTATTAAATTTGTGAGATTGCAATATTGGAATTGTCGTGCTTGATCGAGTTGTGTACTGAAACTCAGAAAGGAAATGTCTGTTGTTGTTCCTGTTCATGTATCTCACTAGGGATAGTGGATTATCGTGTCGATCTGCATTTCCCCCCAGCCAGCTCCCTCGCAAGTTACATGCTGTGCGTGCAAGGCTAACTCCTGTGGCATTGTAGACGGCCTGCAATAGGGTACACTGGTTGAGGCTCATAGTTATTTTCGTTGACGAGTTACACATTCCAACAATAGGACAAACACGGAGAAGCAGAAAATTAGGAACAACAGATACCTGTAGGCTGAGGGTATGCTCCTAAGTTAGAGTACCACGAGTCAAGCAGCAATGCAGGTTAGGTGGGTCGGAGTCGGGAAGGTCTCGGGTTGGGTTCTGACCCCGGAAGGTTGCTGTGAAACACCCGCCTCATGAACACTAGATGAATGAACCCCATGGCCCAGGATGGGTGACTTAGTCATGCGTCACTCAGTCAGACAACCGCCGAGTCTGCTCTTCTTCGCCTGCCAGTGCACATAATAATTATGGTGAACCTGCAAGTTATCGGGAGCATATAGAAACACTGCTGACTCAGTTTCCTGCTTGCCTTCACGTCAGGAGTCCTACTTCAGGATATCGAAACTTTCTCTAAACACCCAGTCAAGATCCTCAGTGAGATGATACTGAGGACGAACCACTGCTCCTATTGGAAGAAAGTTTGACTGGAGATAATGCGTGTGCGCACCTCAGTCAGTGTGTTACACGTTACCTGGAATCCTTCAGTAACGAAGACAACTCTGGCAGATTGTAACGTAGCAGAACAGTTAGACTACAGAAATGTTATTGTTTTTATCCTAAGATAATATATTATTGCAGATCTCCCTAAGAACCCCGTGAACACGTGTGAGGACAGAGGTAGCCATGTACATGCACAGTGTCAGCAGTAAACAATTGTTTTTGTAGTGAATATATATGTACTCCCCCCCCCCCTCTATTCTCAAAAAGACAAAACGTCTTCCCCACTTCCAACTGAAATTGACGTACGAATATACCGGTAGGTTTGGCTTCGAATTTCCAATGGCATAATGACGTTACATGGCCAAATTATCAACTGCAGTGCCGTGTCCTTTCTTACTGTTGACCTTTGTTCATTCGGTTACATTAAGAATCAGGCACGAAGCCCATGATGTTGCTTGTTTCCAACAGCCCTGCCTCAACACAGTATTTACTCCGCCAATACGTACTTAGTGTGTTGGATAGGCTGGGAGGTGAGACGCGCATATAAAAGTAAATAATAATGGTTCAATGGCAATTAATCGGAACAATAGTACCAGTATACCCCGTAGACTTGGTGTGCAAGTTCCCAATGACTGTATGAGCCACTGTCTCAGATAGTCGGTTCTCGCTATGAGACAATTCTGGAAAATAAATACTTCCCATAAATTTAACCGACAGGTCCTCTATTTCTAGTAGCGTCGATTCCATGGTTCAAGCAGGCTCCGAGTCGCATGTTCAGGCAGAAGTACATGTGGATAGGGTGTCGTACCACATACCATCTTTATGTACAGAGAACCTGCTTTGGACAGTAAATTGTTTCAGGGAACCACAGAGCAAAGCAACAACTGGGGAAATACGTGAGCTTGAGACTATTGTGCACGTGTTATGCATTTCGAAATCTCCTGTTTTCCTGGTTTGCAAACCGCATGGGTGCCACCCAACATCCCCTAGGGTGCGTGCTGGCAATGATACCAGACGCACGACGCCTACCATCGACAACGCCGTTGACAGAAACGTTGTAGAGCACGCGATAGCTCACTCCGCCAAAAGTTCGGAGACGCCTCATAGCTGATAACTACTGTACCATAGATAAAGAAAGCATTATTATACACGTGAAAATCCAGTCATATGCGTGGCCATGGACTGTATCTACAACAACACTTGAATACTGCGAGCTAACGTATGAGCTCGGCCCATCCGATGTCTCAACGAGCCCCTGATTTTCGCGCGCAGATCCCTCACCGCACGATTTCAGTTGATAAGTGACGCGTCCAAGGAGTATTAGCAGTCTGTGTTTTTCTCTCTGTCGTGGAGGTTTCTTGTATCATTGGCTTTTGGTCGTTACTTTATCGCCATCATAATATTGGGCATCATTGCCCGTTTGGTCTGCGATACAACATAAAATCTCAACAAGAGCAAGAACAACAACGTCAGGTTGCCTTTCGAGAGAGCAGGGGAGCAATAGCAGAGTGTAAAGTTCCGGAGTGGGGCTTGTCTATGGGACATGGCCAAACACAAGGCTTCGGTCCTTTTCCTGGCGTCTTCTGTGCTGCTTGCCTGCGTTTCTCAAGCCCAAGAGGACATTGCAACGTTTCCAACGCCAAAGTATGATTTCAAAGGGCCGATCCTCAACGAACGTGGTAAGCTTAGAACGGTCAAAGGCGACGTTCTCTATCCGGTGACAACTGGCTATGATCTAGCCCGTCGGCCTTGGCAAACATTCTTCTCCTGCAATGCCTACCCAGCGGTGATTGTGCGGCCAGAGGACGTCAATGATGTCAAACTTGCTCTGGAGTACGCCAAGGTAAATAATCTGCGAGTAACAGTGCGCAATGGCGGTCACTCCTATGCAGGAATAAGCCGCTCGTACGGATTAGTATTGGATATGTCCTACATCAACAAAACCAGTATGACTTCAGCGGAAGCCGATGGACTACCATTGGTACGCGTCGAAGCTGGCTCCACCAATATTGGTGTCTATTACGACTTGGCAAAGTACAATCTCACTTTACCAGCTGGCGGTTGTCCCAGTGTAGGAATTAGCGGCCTTACGCTTGGTGGCGGCTTTGGTGTGCTGTCCAGGAAATGGGGCCTCGCATCCGACCAAGTGTACTCCATTGACGCTGTTGTGTATGAAGACCAGTCGTACAAAGCAGTGACCGCTACAGCTGATAATCAGTATAGTGATTTGTTCTTCGCATTCCGTGGTGGAATGGGAGGCAATTACGGTGTCGTCACCAGCTGGATGTACCGTGCCCATCGTATTCGTAACGTCTATACCTCCACATTTAACCTCAATCTGACGGAGGGCAGAATCCCAAATCATAACAATGACCCCAATGAGTACAAGAATATACGAACTGCCATCTCGAGGTTTATGCAGTGGTGTGATGCTATCAGCAGCAACACAAACTGTGAAATGTCTATCTCCACCATGACGGTGCCATCCATCAATCTGCAGCCAGTAGCAGCAGCGGACGCACAATACGCCAAGGTGTTCAAGCTAGAAAGCTATTGCGTGTGCGAAGAGCTGAACTGCAGTCTATGTATCGGCGAGGTATCACAGCTGGAGGGATTACTGGCCAATGCCCCGGTGTACAACAGGACATCTAGCCCCGAGGAAGGAATACCGTGGTCCGAGTTCATCTGGGAAATTGCAAACTGCACTCGCTACTACGAAGCAGTCAAACTCCCAGGGCAGTATCCCCCATCGTCATTGGTGAGAACTTGCATTGCGCATCGTCAAGCCCCAATTGGACGAGGCAGGCACAATCGCAAGAAGAGCCTTTTCCTCAGTTCGAATCCAGATCAGGCTGTGATTCAGGATGTACTACTGTGGATGGACTCATTTGCTGACAACATCATCGTCGACAACTACACTGCTGCCAACATAGAGTTTTACTACTGGGGCGGTGCACTTGCTAGCAGACCATCGTATGCCGTCGACTCTGCGTGGCGTCATCGCAGTCAGAAATGGCTGGTCCACATCACGGGCCGCTTTCCCGACGAGGCTTCTCCAAAAACAATTGGTACTGTCTATTTCGCCCTTGGAAAGCTTCACACTAGTCTCCTGAAGGCGGAGCAGAGTCTGGCAGAGGCACCCGTGCAGGACTATCAGAACTTTGCGGATGCGTCGCTTAGCTACGAAGCTTGGAGTCACTTCTACTTCGACGGACCAACTATACAGCGTCTTTCCGAGATCAACTACAAGTACAACCCCAACGACATCTTCCGTAACGAACTCTCTGTGCCTCTCAGCACACTGACATGCCCGATTTTTACGTCCTCCCCTGTGAAAAGCAACACTGTGACTCCAGGAAATACTGCAACCACACCTCAAGGCAACCAAGGTGATAACTGCGACAAGTCTGCACCAAGTGACCGAGGTTTGATCCGGGCAGCCTTAGCATTTTCCGTGATTGGTGTTCTTCTTCTTGTGATCTTTGGCATTGTCTATTGTAAAGGGAAATGCTGATTTACATGTTCATGTAGTTGACTCTCTCAGGGTTTGAAGCTTTTGCACCTATGAAGCCCTGAAAGTGGGGCAACTTCACTCCGTGTTTGGTAGATAATCCCCGCTTTGCTCCTCGCTAGATGCTGATGCGAACTGATGGACCACGTGAAATCGTAAAAGTGGAACACCTTAGAATGGCTAAGCAAGCAATGTATTATAGAATGCACGTTCAAGGTTTACTTGCTTTCTTGCATCTTCTTCCCTCTGAAAATTCAAATATATCCATGCAACCGACGCTTTGTCTATTAATTTTCCCCTCTCTTCTCCCTGAATTTTACCGCATGAAACCTTTTGAATTTTTATCCATTCATTTTCAAGTCACGTATGAAATGAAGAGTACTGTAATTATACAGTGTGTGAATAGGAAGTAGTTCAGACCAGACCCGCTCTTTCCCCCCATTATAACTGCCAAAGTGTCAAATTCGTCTTTATCAATTCTTCTAGACTTTTCGGGCGAAATCGCCCTCATCCAGGTTGCAATTGTTTGAAGCTGCAGGAAGCCTCGCCACTGGTACTCCGTCTGTGACTGCCAACCATTTCAACTCGTGTACACCGTTTGCTTGCATTCTACAACACTATAGAAGTTATTCAATATTCCTTGTAGCCATATATGTTGAACGGTTTTAGTGTATTCTCAGCACTTCTCAGCACCGGTAACTGAACAAATTCTTTGTTGTGCTGAATTTGTGTTTCTTAAATTGCCCTTAGCTTTTTGTGAGGTTCCTTCGGACCTGTATAGAGGACAATAAAACTCCTTGGGTGCCATTCACAGTTCACGCCCTTGGACTTCAACCAGTAGTATTCAGTCAGATAAATAGCACTGCTAATGGACTCAGTGTGTGGATTATGCGATCATTCTCACCAGTCGTGACTCGTTAAAACCCGGGGGTTTCACGAGTCACGACTGGTGAGAATATTAAATGTATATTTTTATTTGAATTCGCAAGTACACACGGGCTGGAAGCGAATGTGATAATGGGGTTAATTAAGAAAATGGGTGGAGGAAGCAGGAGGATGGTAGCAAAGCAACAGGGAGGACAATTCAGGAGCACAATCAACAATTGCACAAAATTTAATAGGAGAGTACCTGAGACCGAGGGTACCTGTGGAGCGATAAAAATGCTAAACGCAAACAGAAGAAAGAAAATCATAAGCCAATACGCGCTAAACTGCGCTTGAGTTATAATGAAGGGCAAAAACCGGAGCTAAAGAAAATTATAACCTACAAAGTCACAATAAAAATTTAGCTGGATGAAGAGTAGGACAAGCAAACATTTCCTGACAACGAGAGGGAATAATTATAACGCCAGCCACAGCAGAAGCTGCTGTAGCAGCCGCAGCAGCAGGAGCAACAACAACAACAACAACAACAACAACAACAACAACAACAACAACAACAACAACAACAACAACAACAACAACAACAACAACAGCAACAGCAACAGCAACAGCAACAGCAACAGCAACAGCAACAGCAACAGCAACAGCAACAGCAACAGCAACAGCAACAGCAACAGCAACAACAACAACAACAACAACAACAACAACAACAACAACAACAACAACAACAACAACAACAACAACAACAACAACAACAACAACAACAACAACAACAACAACAGCAACAGCAACAGCAACAACAACAACAACAACAACAACAACAACAACAACAACAACAACAACAACAACAACAACAACACAACAGCAGCAGCAGCAGCAGCAGCAGCAGCAGCAGCGCTGTGCAGGCTTACACCTCCGCCGAAATTGCGCCGCCGTCTGTCAGCCAAGGATAGCGATGTATCGGATTCGGATGGCGGCGGCGAAGCGGGGGAGAAGGTGGAAGACAAGGCAGGCACTTCTGGTGAGGCGGGAATGCCGTTGAGCGAAGATATGCTACCTGTGGCAGTGAGTGGCATTGTGGAAGAAACACCATCAACAATCAAGCTACTTGAGAGTCAGGTCATGGAGAAATCCAGCAC